GGGTCATAGCAGCGTTGACCGGCATTGACCAAAGCCGTTGACCAAGGCGTTGACCAAGGCGTTGACCAAGACTTTGACCAAGCTGGAGTTGGTAACATCTTGCCAAGCCCTTAGCCTGCCCTTGCCCTATGGATGTGCACATACCCCTTGGTACTTGCTGAGTACAGTCTGTCTGTCTATTCTTTCTGCATTGAGTCTCTTCTGTCCTAGGTCATAGAACTCTGTGGATGAAGGATAGGGCCTTGCTGCCAAACCTGCACGGGACTTAGTAGGACTAATCTCTACTCTGGTATCTGGAGACTTGGGCATGAGCGGCGAGCGCTCGTTAAACAACTCGTCTAGCCCAATGATCGGTACTGTCCAGCAGGTCTGCTCAGTTTCAGTGTAGAGGGTCCGAACTCTGAGCTGCAGGCTGAAACGGAGGCCGTCTTTAAGTGTTGAGGGCCTGTTGGAACCACTCCCCTACCAGACCAAGTAAGGCTGATGTTTTGTGTCTGACGACTCGACTGTCCCGGGGGATACGAACCCTCCCAAGGACCGGTACAGACCGGCGGGCTGCTCGGTGTGGCACAGTAGGCTGGAAAGGCTGAGTTGTGGGTTGAAAGCACAGGCAGAACCAAGCTGATCACGTCGTCCTGTCTGCGACGTTAAAGAATTCTTGAGGAGTTACGGGGGATCTCCTTAAATGCCTCCTGATCAGCCACTGGTTCAGTAGTGACAGCCATAGTGTAGGTCTAGGCTAGAGACCATAGTTGACAAGATCCCTGTCAGGATTCTGTAAGTCTTAGATTGAGTCTATAGGTTTGTCAGTTAGGGGTTAGAGTCGACGTGGTGAGGAGTGGAATCATCCTGATTGTGCACCTATCACCATGGTTGAGACCCGTACTGGGTAAGAGACTAACCCCTATAGTCAGGAGCAGCAAGAAAAGATGGCCGCCTTAGTCAGAGAGAACAGGGAGAGGAAAGAGTGTGAGAAGCAAGCGAAGCTAAAGGCTATCGCAGACGAACAGGCAGCGAAGATGAAGAGATTGGAGGAGGAGATGAAGAAAGTACAACAAGAGGAGGAAGAAAGAAGAAAAGCTGCTGAAGCAGAAGCGGCAACAGAAGAAGAGAAAGAGAGGATGAGGATTGAGAGTGAAGAAGGGAGTAGTGGTGGCACGATGACGAGGGAGACAGATACAGGGATGGAGAAGAGGATCAGCGAGTGGGTCACTAATTTATCGTTGGGAGAAGACGAGGAGGCGGAGTCCTATGTGACTAAGGATGAGAAGGCTGCGCTGGCCGCTGAGCTAGCAGCCATGACAGACCCGATGGAACGAAGAGAGAGGGAAGACGAGCAAAAGCTAGCATGGAAGTTGAGAATGAAGAGGGAGAAGAAGAGGAGGAGAGAGGAAGTGAATAAGATGACCGCAGCAGTGGCAAAGGTGCAGGAGTGTAGAGCGGAGGTGCTGGCCCAACCAGACGATAAGGCCAAGTGGGACAAAGTACTGGGGTACCTGGAGGTGTTGAGCAAGGATTGGATGGAGGAGCGCCAGGCAAGTTGGAGCCAGGATGTAGCGTTGAGTGCCATGCGGTCAGGGTTTAGAGATTTTGCGCGCGAGATCGTCACCCATATTGGGGGCGAAGTGAAGCAATTGAGAGATAATGTAGGGAAGTTTTGTGAGGGCGCCATTCAGGGTGCCAAAGCTGTAGCCGCTGTAGAGGGAGAGGCCAGACCCCGTAAGGACCCAGTGAAACTCAAGTTCCT